TCTCTCCTGCAGACTAAACATGAAAGATCACAAGCCAATGAGCAATCTCAATTGCTCAATATCCCTCTTCAAACTTAGTACCCACATCAAAGTGTTTGGGGCTTAGCATGTCCTTGATGCTCCATAAACTTGGAATGAATGAAGTGGTCCACACACACCATGATATACCAGAACTATTGTCCTCCTTTCTCCATATATTGTATTTTTACTAATGCAGCCTAAACTTATTTTAACTCTTCCAAGTGGGAGTCCCATAGGCCTGTTGGCTTGGGTATACAGAAGTGTCCCCTGGGAAACAAGACTGTTGAACATGTTGACTGATATCCACCTGTATTGATAATTTCGTCAAAGAACTAGATCATGTAACAGAAAAGGTGAAATGAGAAATCAAACCCTCTAATCATGCAGCAGAAGATGCTTGTCAGTGATAGACTCAAAAGAGCCTACTTCCCAGGGCACCTGAGTGGCTCAGTGGTTGAGCATCTGCCTTTGGCTCAGGCCATGATCCCAGGGTCCTGGGATCAAATCCCCCAGGTCTCCACAGGGAGCCTGCTTATCCCTCTGCCTAGGTCTCTGTCTTTATGAATAAATAAAATCTTTAAAAATAAAAAAAGAGGTCCTACTTCCCTTAATAAATCGGGACTGTGGATTATTAAGTATAGTCATTAGTACCAGCCAACAGATATTTTGGATGGTCTTCCCAGGTGCATAGTTGGAATGCGCTTCCCTGGCCCCATGAAGTTAGGGAAAGTCATGTGACTTGGTTTATTCACCAAGTTCCCTTGGTCTTAGCTATGGCAATCATGGAAGCACAGAGATGGACCATCCCTCAATAAAAATGACAAAGCAGAGTCCCTGAGGTGACCTGTGATGGTCATGGAGCAAAAGGGAGAAATAGAGGCACCTGGGTGGCTCAGTTGATCAAGCATCTAACTTTTGATTTCGGCTCAAGTCATGATCTTAGGGTCCAGCCCCAAATTAGGCTCCATGCTTAGCAGAGTCTGCTTCTCTCCCTTACCCTGCCCTTCTCTGTGCACTGTCTTTCAAATAAGTAAATTTTAAAAAATAAGTAAATGAATCTTTTAAGTGAGAAACAAACTTAATTTTTTTATTTCACTGAGATTTCATTTGTTGTTGTTACCACGGCAGACCCTAGCCTATCCTGGCTGATTCTGTATTACTGACACAGAAACTAGAATACTCAGAGCTCGTGTCCTCTGGACCCACTGATCATAGCTTTCACATTATTTCTCTTCCCCATGCTTCCAATCTGTAAGGTGGGAAGTCTTTTGGTAGGCATGCACCTGTTCTACCAAGCAGCTCAGGTAAGCCCACCTGCCAACAGTGGGGTAGATGTATTATTTCTTCACACAGCAATGCTCTAAAGGAAGTCACCATGGAGACTTGTTTGGGTTTTTTCCCACACAAGAAGGAGCCCAAGATTATTTCACTAAAATCCATCTAAGATTGTCACCACAGCCCAGAGAATGATGGGTATCTATAGAAGATTTAAGGATGAAAGGAAGAATCTAGGAGTAATTTAAGAGGGATGAAAACAGCAAGTTGTCTAAATCAGTGGTTGTTATTTTACCTGAATTAGAACCACCTGAAGGCTTGTTAAAATACAGGTTATACCTCCAGAGTAGCTGATTTAGTAAGTCTGGGGTGGGGCTCAAGCATTGCATCTCTAGGGGGATGCCTGGGTGGCTCAGCGGTTGAGCGTCTGCCTTTGGCTCAGGGCCTGATCCCAGAGATCTGGGATCGAGTCTCACATCAGGCTTCCTGAATAGAGCCTGCTTCTCCCTCGCCTATGTCTCTATCCCACCCCCCACCCTCTCTCTCTCTGTCTCTCTCATGAATAAATAAATAAAATCTTTTTAAAATAATTTTTTTAAAAAAGAATTGCATCTCTAACAGACTCCCAGGTGATGCTGGTTCAGAGACCATCCTGAAGACCACTGCTGTGGAACTATTCACTTCAAGAACCTAGAGTGGAGGCTCTAGCAAGAGAAGTCCATGTGGCCTTAAAAGATACTCCTTAGAGAAGAAAAAAGAGCGAGTTTCTCACTCACCACATTAACCTGAGAACTGATGTATAAAGGACACAGGAATGGCCAACGCAGTCTTTTTTCCTCACCATGTAACACACTACACAAAAAAATTAAGCTCCTCTAAGGGAACAAACCAAGTACTTGTTGGCACATTTTTTAAAACTGGGTTTCTATGAGGTGAAATCATGCCTCACTCACCATCCAGAGCCAGGGGTAAATCTGGGTGTATTTCAGGAGGAAGCAATTTAGATAACTGGCTATATCTCCCTCTCCAACCTTATCTCCTTACTCCCCTTCACAAACCTCCTCCATAAGTCAGTCCCTCTTGCTCTCTGACCCCACCAAGGCTGGTCACACTTCTCTCAGCTACAACCCACGCACACAGGTGCACTTATCTTCACTTATCTAAATCCCCCCTTCCTCCAATTTAGAGCCAGACACTTCAAGAAAGTCTTCCCTCTCTTTCATCCCCATCACAGCCAATCAATCACCTAGTCCTGTCAATTCTACCTCCCAAATATCTCCAGAGTCCATCTGGTGTGCCTCATTTTTCATTCTGACTCAACTGGTATAGATCCCCCATGCTCTACCCTCTTTCCCCTCTAGACCTTTGCCCAGATTGGGACACTTTGGACAGATCTCAATTTAAACAACATCCTTTCCCAGGACGGAGAGGCCTCACTTGATTCCCTAAGCCAGGTTAGAACTCTCTTTTATCAACTCCCATTGAACTCTATGTTTTGTTTTGTTTTGTTTTTTTTGTTTTTGTTTTTACCAAGAACATTTATCCCATTTGTGAGCTCTTGTTGATTTATCTTCTCTACTCAACTATAAGCTTTTCACAGAGAGGACTACATTCGTCTTGCTTGCTGCTGTCACTGCAGGGTGCAACACAGCCCCTGACACAATATAGACACTTAATACTTAATGAGTGAATGCAGGGATCACCACATCAGCTCATAGGAATCTTCCCTTCCTCTCAATGCCTAAAGCACATTCCGCCTGCTTCAAGGAATGTCTGGTCACCCAGACATCGCACCCACCACCGGAGACAAGCAAGCAGTCCTTATGACATCCAGAAAATGTAGAGGGGGAAAAGTGACCCTTGAAAAAATAAAGGAATATCTTTTTCTTGGACACTGGATGGTATTGAGATTACCTACAAAGATATTTTGGGAGGATAAAAGAGGCTGTCTTCTCAGAAGTGGCCAGGAACAAAGTCTTAACAGTGAGAGAAAGGAAGTGTATAAAGACAATGGTGTTTAGTGATGGGAAGTCTGCATTTCTCTAGAAGCTTTTATTAAAGTTGGTAACTTCCCAAGACAGGTGTTCTAATGGATTCTCTACCCTGACCTTTATAAATGACAGGCAGCCATGTCTTTAGGATGTGTAAGGAAGGGGGCTGAACTCACTGACCTCCCAAGAGCTTCTGACCTTCAGGATTCTATAAACAAGCTCATTTCAAGTTGGAATGTAGAGAATCCACATTCTGGCTCTGTCTTTACATAGCAGTTCTGTCTCTATGTAGAAGACAAAACAATCTTTACCTTCTGTCCACTTTCTAATAGTACTAATTCTTTCAAAGTCAGACCCCAACCCTAGTCTGGCATCATGACCCATGGGACCACCACATCAAAAATAATTTAGCAAGTAGCCTCTGACTAGGGGCAAGGGTTACCCCTGCCTAAAGAGATCAAGCAAGGGGATATCTTGGCTTTTTCTACTTCTAGCCATGCAACTTTGAGCAAGTGACCTTACTTCTTTGAGTCTTAGTATCTTTATCTCTAAAATGGTGATGGTCTACTTCTTGGGATTGTTGTGTTAAATGAGATATGCATGTAAAAACCCCCAGCATAAAAAAAAAAACCATGTAAGGAATGTTAGTGTCATAATTATAGATTTCCAGTTTTAAAAGTTTTGTAAGATAATAACGATTCTAAGGTGAAAATACTGTAGGAACAAAATGACGTTTGGAATTTGCTTCAAAATAATCTATGTGGAGAGAGGGAAGCTATAGGTGAAATAAAATCATCCATGTTTTAGAAATTGTTGAAGATGGGAGATGAATACATTAGACTTATTGCCTTATCTTTCTCCTTTTGTACAGGTTTGAAATTTTCCATAATAGAAAATTTAAAGTGCATATACTGAGGGAGTGAAATGCTGTGAAAATATAAATATTGATTATTTTCAGATATTTGGTCTAGATGGTCTAAGAATGATATGAAGGGGGAGAAAAAGCCAACGTCTCTATTACAGAATTATTTTCTTAAACAGAACTGTCTCAGATGAGCAGAAAGAAACAGAGCCACTTGCATACACTTCTCTGCCTTCATTCCTGCAGAACACCACACCCTGCTTGGGCTGTACCTGCATTTTTAAGTAGACAAGCCCTAGGTAGTATAACTTAGTCTTAGCAGCCCAGGGGCTCTGCTGAAATAGGAATGAGGAGCAAGAAAGTCCCCACATTGATAAAAACAAGTAGAAAGAATTCCAGATGTTCAGGGACAATGGGTGCCACAGCCCTCTTCCCTTCAAAGCCCTGGGCTTGGACTCTTAACTTGAGGAAGGCTGGTTCAGCTTGGTGTGAGACTGTATTTAAGGCACTTTCACTCCAAATGAGTGGGTCCTCTTAGAGCACAGCTAGTGTGTTAGATGATACTGGGGGCCAGGGAGGGGGAGTTTCATTCAGGGGAAAAGGAGTTTGTAAGAGGCTCTGACAGTATCAATCACAGCACAAACCTGTATCATCTCCACACTTCCACATCTTCCCACTGAGAGAAGTCCAGAGATTGAAAAACAAAATTCTTGCATTCCACTTTGGATCAACCAACCCACTCCAAGTCCCTCTATCTGGGAGAGAAAACAGTCTAACAAGCTTTGTTGTGACCAAATGCCTTTAAGCTCCAAAACTCTGCTTGGAAAAGGAGAATATACAGAAGTACTTACTCTTCTTGAAGAATAAATTCACTATTTTCCGGAGAAAACTGCCCACTCACAGGATGCCTGAATGCTGTGGTCTGTTGGTTATGGCTAAAGAGAAAGAAAGAGAGATAATGAATGAGAAGTCATGTGAATGGAAAGGCTTGCAGACACAACAACAGGTCAGTAATGTCGGAGGACCCCTGATCATCACAGATTCCTCCCAGAGTAAGAGAGTGGGCCTTTCTTCGGAGACACATTTAATCTGTCAAGCCCCAGCTGCATTTAAAAAAACAAGAACTTTCAGCTCAGGTGCCACAGCCAACCTAAGATGAAAGGATTTTAATTCTAGGAAAGAATGGCTGCAAGAGACCACTGCATCTGAGAGAGACATTCCATGAAGTACTTACTCCAACAAACCCAATGGCTCAGTAACAAGTTACTTTAAGATGGCACGAGCTAAAACAAGAATGAAGGAAAGCAGACAGCACTTTCAACAGCTTCCCAAAACCATGAACCAGGGAAAGAATTCCAAGAATTAACCACCCACCCAGAAAAATCTATCTTCTTAAAATTCTTCTCCCTACTACAATATGCCTTCACTTCACTGATGGGATGTAAATGTATGGGCATGTCTCTGCAACATGACCTGCACAATTTCAACACCGTGGAGTTTCTATCACCCTTTTGAAGTTAGGAGGGATCAGCTTCCAGGCCAAGCTGACAGACACAACCAAAGTGTGTAGGTGTTTTGTGTATTCACAAAGGCTGCCTGCCTGGGTTCTTTGAAAGGAAGGAGGAGAAGGCTCTGGAGGCTCCTGGTTTGCTTGAGGAATAAACAAACCTAATGTCCTTTTTTCCTCCAAGAGTATGATTTATATTAAAGTGTTTTCCCCATTCAAAAATTAGTCCTTTTAGAAAATTTCGAAAATATAAGAAGAAAAAACGTCTCCCATGATCTCACCACCTATACCTGAGTATCTTCTCCTTCCCTAGTTTTTATTTCCTTCTACTAAAAAATTATGACTTTGCTGCATTTAGAAATCTGTCTCCTGCCTTTTTCACATCCTATTCACATGGAAATTTTCCTGTCTCTAAGACTTCTTCATTTGCAATAGCTGAATCCAGGTGTCTCCCACCTTTTGGAAGTTCAAGTTATGCCGCTACATTTTTAGGAAAGACCTTCACTAGCACCTGTTTTCACTAACTAAAAAAAATGTGAAGAGAATTTTCACTTTTACAAAAAAAGGTTGAAAAGCATTTGCATCCTAGGGAGTCCTCATAGAGGCAGTGCACTCCAGAGCAGCGAGTGGCACCGCCAAGCTCCCTACCTGGGAACTACACCAGCATCTCAGCATCAAGCGGTCTTAGCTTTGAACTGGGTCTGTGAGCAACTGTGTTTCATCTCAATTTATTTTGTGCATCTATTAACAAAACATGTCCTAAGATTAATCAGAAAAGCCTAAGAGGTTATTTTGGGGGTTCTTGGCATGCTCCAAATTTTTTCCATATAAATTATGGTCATCGCTGTTTTCTTACATCATTCTGTCTTACAAGTTTCACTGGAATGCTCTACTTCCAGATAGCCAGTGAAACTTGTAATCATTTTATCCTATGGATAAAACTGCAACTATTTAAAAAACATTCATTGGCCATTCAGTGTGCCAGGTCCTACTTTAGATGCTAGAGATACAGAATGAACAAAAAGTTCTTTCCCCGTGCTTACATTCTAGAAAGATTTACATTCTTCTAATGCTGGACATTTTTGGGTGCACTATACATCTTTTAGTACAGACTGCTCCCGCAATTCAATTTCCTTGGGTTAAGGTCCCAAAGGTAAAATTACTTAATCAAAGGGCACACTCATTTTTAAGGCTCCTACTACAGATGGTTAACATGCTTTCACTGTCAGAGTCAATATATCATCTCATTTTGCTAAAGTATTAGCCCATCTCCAAACTGAGCATGGGGCCACTCCCAGAGATTAGTATGTTTAATGAGCATAGTAACAAAGGTTAAAAAAGAAAAAACTCTCTATATCTACTAAGTTTATCTTACTTGTCCTGGGGCCTGGCCAGAGTGTCCTGTGTTCTGGTGTCTGGGGTGAGCTGGCATTGAGTTTGGAGCAGCCTGACTACTAATAAGCCACATGTGAAGCCGTCAGAGCCATCAGCAACCTGGTTGCTGATGGCTCTGTGATTGTGCACCACCCCCATCACCCTTTCACCCCTCCCAACCACTCTAGCTTCCAAATCCCCAGCTCCAGGTTTGAAGCAAGCCCTTGGAATCCCAGGACTCCATCTGGCAGACAGCAGCCTGGTCTTCACAAGAAAGCAGAGTTAAGGCATGGGCATCTAGATAAGGATGAGAAGCAGGGCCTGGCAACATCTGGTCCAGAAATCTCTGCACCATGCCCAAGGGGTTGGCTTTATTTATACCCAGCTTCTTTTTTTCTTTCTTTCTCTTTTCTCTAATACCCAGCTCCTTTTAGAGAGTCACTTCCATTCACCAGGGAATCTTGAAAACACAAATTCTAAGCCTGCCTCATTTCCACCTGGAGGAAAAAAAAAATGCCCTGCTCATAATGAGAATAACAACAAAACAACGATACCACCATCCACTGTTACCTCTCAAGGACTCTATAACCTTTCCTTATACGTCTTAGCTATTAACCACCATCGACCCCCATTTTATCAATGAGGAAATGGCTCAGAGAGGTTAAGTGACTTAAGATAAATTCATCAATAAATGATAAGACTGGGGCATAAATTCTGGTCTTCTATTTCTAGATTAGGTGCTCTTTGCATGATAACCTGCTGTCCCCTTTCCTCAGGAGTCTACAGGGCTGACAGGTTCCTGGCTAAATCCCTAAAGACAAAGCATCAAAAAAACAGCACCATCATCCACTGCTACTCCCTCTCTCCCTCTACACCTCCCTCCTTCAGTTGTGCACAGAACCAAAGCTCTGAATGACAACACCTGTGTAGCATTCAGCACCCCCAAAAAGCCTTTGATCCTAATCCAAGGTCAGCCAGGAGAATCTCTGATATGTACAAAAAGCGAATCTTCTCTATGCCTGGAGCAGTAGCATCCAGCAACCACTTCATATACATTGCATGACCTTGAGAGGTACTCCTGGGCTCCCCATACCCAACATGTATCAGCTTAAATAAGTCCAGAGTTTTGGGTAAATGAATCCTGACCTGAAAGGTTTAGACACTAAGATGAGGTTTACATTCTAACATTAAAAAACAGATTTTTTTAAGTGGATAAAAATATAGCTGTCATTCGATCAGATCTAGAGGCAGCTCCCTAACCTTTCTTCCCTAATATAGATGCTGTCCTCCTTGCCAAAAAAAGTTATCAACCACAGTATTACCACTACCATTTCCTGAATTTCCATGAAGCTTTAAGTATGGTCATATTCATCATCATATCTTAACCTCCCAAGTACCCTCTGAGGTAGGGAGAGCTGATATTTTTATTCCCGTGTTACACATAAGAAAACTGATGATCTGGGTTATATGATGTTACTGGAACACTAAATTAAAAGGGGGAAAAAAGGACTCATACATTGAGAAAAGATAGAAACCAGAATAATACCTCCTGAACACTGAGGTCTTAAAATATGATCATTTCTGATCAAACTTGCCCAACTTGCAGAGTTTCTGGTTCAGCACTTTTTGAGCAAAAGAAATGTTAGGTACTTGGGTTATTTAATTCAGTCTTGCCAAATACCCAGTATGGCAGGCTGTGTTTCATCATACCAGACCACAGGTGAGGAAAGTGAGATCCAAGAAGGGTAGATGACTTGCCTACAAGGACAGTCAGGTCCTGCATTCCTGCACACCACCACCCTTCTGGTCTCCTACCATTAAGCTAAGCTCACCCTCACACCAAACAAAGGCTGCATAGTAAATGCTGGATCCCCACACCCATCTGGAGATTGCAAAGTCCTCTGACTTTACCTGCTGTCCCTGACCTCAGTCCCAAAGCCCCCACCCTGCTCCATTTCCTGATTTTCTAAAATCCATGAAGAATCTCATGTCCTATCACCCTGTCTCAAGGCACATCTAGCAGGCACAGACAAATCCCCTGAAATACCTGTTCTTAAACCTGAATTGCCACCTTGCTCCTTGGTAGTGATGGAGATGGCCCGGCTGGGAGCCAGGTGGCCGGTTCCAAGGGAGCACAGAAACTCTCTTTCCTCTATACTAGGGCTTCTGTCTCTCTCCAGGCTACTGAGAAAGTAACTTGGTAAATGAGGTAAAACACAAGCAAGGCTTTATTCTCAGATCCTGCTCTTCCTCCTAAGAGCAGCCCCTCTAAGTTGAATGGCAGCCAGTCTCACCTGGGAGAGGAGAAGGACGAGCAGAAGGTTACAGGGAAGGATCACCCAAGGAAGGCGGGCCATAGGTAACCATTCACATAAATAAGCACGTCTTCACAAGCTCTGAGCCTGGGAGGACTTGGGTTAGGCCCTAAAGACACCCAACAGCAAACATGAGAGATGTGACAGGAGGACAGAGTGAGTACTAGGGAGAAGTGGAAATCGATTTGACCTCAATAGAAGAGCCCACCTACAATCACTGACAAGACTGGTCAAAATGTAAACAGGTCCTACAGTTTCTTGCAGCATTTTTGCAAGATTAATCTTCCATTCCTATAGATTTTGACCATAATGTGAGCAGTGAGACTCTGGTCGGTTAAACATAAAGGTTCCAATTACTTAACATGGCAATTTCTTTTTGGTATAGCAAGAAGTTCTGCAGTTATGTGAATGGTGCTCAAGAGTGGAGGTCACAGCACCCTGATAAATCTGGTTTTTCTGACAGTGGTGGTATTGGTATGCGGAGCGTTAGACAAATCTGCGCAGTCAGCATGAGCTCTTATCTGGCCCAGCTATAAAGAGAAGAAACCACTTAAAATGTAAGAAAAGTATCCAGCCTGAAAGCCTAAGGAGGGACTCTATCAAGGCTCTTCTCATTGGTACGCTCAGCAGCAGCTGCCACCCTGGCCCCTCTGGCTCCTCAGTGTGGCTCCTCGAATACCGTAAGAATGTCACCTTGCAGGCCTGATGAACATTCAGTACTGCCTCCAGGCTTGTTAAG